GCATTCCTGGTGTCCTCGTGCCGGGTCCCTCTTTCTCACTGTCAGGGCACAGCCTCCCAACCGGGCCTGCAGTTCCAGCGCCGCTGCACCCTCCGTCCTGTTTCACACACATGTCCTTGGAGTCCGGCACACGGATTGCACCCCCTTGCTACTGCGGAAGGGATTGCGAGGCCCCTGGCAGACCTTGCGGGAGCTGCAGAGCCTTAGCCCTGGTCTGGGTTGGGGGAATCAGGGTGTCGCCACCGGGGCCCCACGTCCACATTGTCTGACTGCCCATCGTATGCTGAGGTTTCAGCTCCCGAGGTGCAACTTTGTCTCCGTTTTTCTTGCAGCAGATCCCTTGCCTGGGCTCGAGGAGAAACCAGCCAGTGTTGGTGCTTTGGAGGGGGCGTTCCTCAAGCAGCTACCTCACCCCGCGCCCCCGCTGCAGGCCGACTGTGCCAGGCGGAGCTCGCCCCAGGGAAGGGATTCGGATGGCCCAGAGCTCAGGCGCGAGTCCTCGGAGCCTGGAGACAGCTGCCCAGTGAGCGCAGGCAGGGGCGCCTGGCTCTCGGGGAGCGGCTTCGCAGGCCCAGCCGCCCAGGGGTGCGCCCTAGCTGACCCGGGGGCACTCCCTGAAAACGGACTGAGGGTGGAAGCCTCCCCGTGTGGGTCCGAGGGCAAGGGCAGAGCGCCACCGGAGGCCATGCCGCCCGCCGAGCCCGCGTGCTCCCCCCTGTATGCGCCTGGCCTGGAGTACCCCAGCTCCACCGCACGGTACCACGTCGGCGCAGGCCTGCAGGCTGTGGGCCCCGTGATGGGGGGCAAGCCGTCAGCCCCGCACCCTCAGCCTTTTCCCCCTCGGGCGTTTCCGTCCCACGACCCGCATTCTGGAGTCTTCCCCCGGTACCGCCCCCACCAGGGAATGAGGTACCCCTACCAGCCGCCACCTCAGCCTTCCTACCATCACTACCCGCGGACTCCTTATTACTCGTGTCCACAGGGCTTTTCAGACTGGCAGAGACACCTCCCTGCCCCGGGAAGCCCGAGCGGGCCCCCGCCGGCTCAGCCTGCCCCTGCCAGGCCCCTCTTCCTCGATAAGAGCGCTGGGGCCGGGCTGCAGGGCTGCGAGGCTCTGAGCGCTGCCTTAACTTCCCCCGCGCGAGTGGACGCCGTGGTCGCCAAGACAGCTGATGGGCAGAATCCCGGCCCAGAGGAGAAGCAGGATGAGTCTATGGAGAGGCCAGAGAGTCCCAAAGAATTTTTAGATCTGGACAACCACAATGCAGCTACCAAGCGGCAGAGTTCACTGTCAGCCAGCGAGTATCTCTACGGAACGCCCCCTGCACCGCTGAGCTCGGGGGTGGGCTTCGGTTCGTCTGCTTTCCCCCCACATGGAGTGATGCTGCACACGGGGCCTCCTTACCCGCCGCAGCGGCCGGCCGGGCATTTCCAGCCCAGGGCTTACTCCTCCCCCACGGCTGCTCACCCACCTCACCGCCCATTGGTGGCCCAGCCCAATGGCCTGTCCCCCGAGTGCCCCCTCTACCGCTATCCAGAAGAGGGCCTGGGCCACTTCCAGGCTGTGATGATGGAACAGATGGGCCCTGGAAGTGGGGTGAGGGTGCCTTTCCAGGAGATGTACAGACCGTCCGGGTAAGGCTGCAGAGAGTGCTGTTTTCTAGGGAGAAAAAGAGTAGATGGTAGTTTTAACAGAGAAAAATGGCCTTGGTAATGAAGGTGGTGTGCGTGGTGTGGGCGCGGGAAGAGC